AGCAAAGAAATTATTGGTGATTGGTGTGGCAAACCTACTTACTGTTATTGAAATTATGAGTAATAATATTTTGTTATGTTATCTCATAAGCACCACCTGAATTTCTGTTCACCCAAGCCTTCAAGTCGCCTTAGGTATGATTTTAATAATTACACAATTATTTACTAGTGATCAGTTAGTTAAATATTGCTAATTATTTTGAATCAGTTTAATCAATCAGTTTAATCAATCGGTCAGTCTCAAAGTTGTGAATCCTCCGTCCAGCTGGTGTAACTAACTCACGTGGCTGGCCTCCGACTCGACGGGAATAAGCTTAAAAGAAACTTTGTTGTCCCTGAATTCAAAGTTGTGTGACTTAAATGGTCTGATAACTTTAACAAACAAAAGAAAAGAAAAGGTAAATTCAACGAAGGGATTTGGGAATATAACTAAGTAAGTTGCTGTGAGACAAAAGAAAATTTCACGGACAGTGCCGGGCCGAAGTCTTAGGCGTTGCATTGCTGGGATGACAGGAGCAAGCTCCAGAACAGAGCGTAAGAGTCAAAGGAGAAGAGAGAGAGCAGTGCATGGTGCTATGTTTCTGTCTCCTGGGGCGTGAGGAGGAGGGCTTCGTTACTCAGAGTCTGTGTTTTAATTTTAATAAGGTCTTAAACCCTGCGATGGACTGGCGTCCTGTCCAGGGTGTACCCTGCCTTTCGCCCATGTAAACTGGGATTGGCTCCAGCCCCCCACGACCCTGTACGCAGGATAAGCGATTGACGATGGATGGATGGATGGATAAGGTCTTAAAGTCTATTTGCGCATGTTGTAATCAAATACCTTTCCACAATCAACTGTAAGTTCTTAATTTTAAGCATTTGATAAAAATAAAAGTAAAAGTTATTGTTAATCGTCCATAACAATTATGATAGTTACCACTTAAAAAAAACATGTAATAGTGATCACAGCAGATGAAGGAGCAACTTAACTAAACTTAACTTCCAGGAGAATACTGATTGTTAGACATTCTTACTTAGAAAATATACAGGAAAGTTCTAAGAACATGGCATCAGATTACAAACAATAAAACAGTATATAGATTAAGAGCAAGGAGAGGCATTAAAGAACAATGACATGTAATAATTCCTTTGTCCTCTGGGGGGACACTGGTTCCATGAGAGGACCTGGGAATCCTTTGACTATCTACTTATAGTTAACTCAATCTTTGGCTAAGGGAGCTGGGAAAATTGGTTATTTAACACATAATAATATTTCTGTACCATATAATTTCTAAGAAAGTATATAAAGGTGCTTGGAACAAAGCATTAGATAATCATTAATTAAATGCCGGAATGTCAGTGAGCACTGATAAAGATTACAGCACTTTAAATTAACTTATTTATGGTTTCTTCTTTTCAACATAGTTACTAACAACGACATGGTGACAAACTACTGAAATTGAAGTGGCAGGCCACTAAGTAACTTAACAAAGATTATTTAATTCAAACAAGGTAATAAGCCAAGTTTATAAGGAGACAACATTTCTTTGTTGTTGGAATGGAGCAAACCTTTCACCCCTCCTTTGGGGTACTTAGGACCTGGAGTCACCCCCCTCTTTCTCTCAGAGAGAGACAAAGAGAGATATGCTGGATTGTTTCCTTTTGGCATAAAATAATTAAACCAAACTTGAGGAATGCCCTAACAAATCAAACTACAATCTTTACTTCCTCGCTGCTGCTTTCTCAAATCCATTCAAATAGGCTTATTTAGTCCATCCAAATTAAACTCCATTCCGTGTTTTTACTACTCACGCCTGCTGCATTCCCACACAGCAAGGTAAACAAAGTATCTTAATGTATCTGCTGCTCAGGTGGGTCTCGTGTGCTCACATACTGTCACTAAACAATAGGGGTGTGGAAAATAAAAGATTTTTACATGCATCGCGATGCAGACTTGGACGATTATGAATCGATTAACAAATGTCAATCGATTATCTAAAGGTTAATTTATAATGTAATGTTGACGGAATGAAAAAGGCGGAACTCGGAAATGCGGAAGTGCAGCTTCGGACTGCCAGGTGCAGTGCGCACAACGGAGATGTGTGGCTCTCCCTGTTTAGCACAGACAGGCAGATACTGAGTACTGAACTGAACTCACGTTAATGATTTTCACCCGTGCACTGTGCAGCGCGGTAGTGCTTAGCGAGTGTCCTCTGCTCATTCTTCAAATGACAGCTACATGACAGGTGGCAGTAGGTGACGGTGAAAATGAGCGGAACAGGGGAAAACATGAGCGCTACGTTTCAGTCTGGCTGTAAATGTACAGTGTAGGTCACAGCATGTCCGTTTGTTAAAGTTTGTCTGTTGTTTTCCAACTACTAGGAAGGCAATTAGCGCTAGCAAACATCTTCTCTTCAGACTGCGGTCTGGAAGCTGAGCAGGATGTTATTTGGCTGCTGTAAACTTGGTCATTCAGCCGGCGGCTGTGGCTCAGGAGATAGAGCGGGTTGGCCGTTAATCAGAAGGGGTTCAATCCACGGCTCCCCCAGGCTGCATGTCGAAGTGTCCCAAGATACTGAACCCCGAGTTGCCCCTGGTGTATGAATGTGTTTGAGCACTTAGGCTCAGTGTATGAATGTGTTTGACTGGTGAATACAGATGTAGTGTAAAAGCGCTTTGAGTGGTCAAAAGACTAGAAAGGTGCTATACAAATACGGAGCATTTACATTCATCCACATATACACATATACATATACACAAATGAACGAAATGCTGTTTCGTGGTGCTCAATACAAGATTACAATACAATACAATGGTATCAATCATTTTCAGGTTCAAAATCTTAATTAGGGGTTGTACCAGAACAGGTTTACTTGGTTTAATTTTCAAAAAACACCATATTTTTCTCATACTGCACATTGCTGCAGCTCCTCTTTTCATCCTATTTGGTGTACGCTCTGCTTTTGAGCTACAGAGTGATGCATCTTACTTGTACAAAATCTGTGTTGGGAGTTGCACATGCGCAGTTCCCAGGTAATGACTACTAGCCAATCAGAAGTAGAGAAGTGCGGGTCGTAAGAAACAAGATAGTGTGATCCAAATCAAAGCTGCTTCAGACTGCGACCATAACCTAGCAGATGGTATAATTTACTCACAAGTCCGCAACCACACAACATCCTTACCATTAGGACTAACCGTTGAACTGTTGCCAGTGTTCTGACGATCTATGCTGCCATGCTGAAAAATGCTACCATAGAGCAAATCGATAGACTTGACTCTACTCGGCCCTGCTCCGTTTTCCATTGCAGGTAGTACCCAGAGATAGTACGTAGCTTGTTGTCAAAGCGACGCCACACACACAACTGCCGCAACGTAATGTTCAATGCGACACACACACCAGCGATCCACACAGCTTTCTCTTTTTTAAGTTAAAATATATATACAGTCTATGGTTAAAACGTTTCAACATTCCTCAGAATGTAAAGACAGGTAAGCGGTATGAAAACCTTCCAGCTATGTTTTCCTCTGCCGTTGTTGCTGCAGCGGTCTGTGTGACTGCAGGAGCAGAGGGCTCTGTGAGTGGGCGGCTGGCCGGCCTCACACGCTCCTTCCCGTTGGCACAGGCTCCACTTGCAGAGCTCCTCAACACTATATAATATTCATGCACATTTTTTTTCCGCCATCACTCGTAAAATTGTCAGTATTCTAAATCTACACACCTGATTTCTCACCTCAAAACTTCCATACGAAAACTCGAATCGAATATTCTCTCTGACCAATCAGCAGTCTGTCGTGTTTTCATGTTACATTTTAGTATCCCTCAGCTCGCTTGGAACCTCGACGCAGGTGAGGTAATATGAAAAAAGTACCTGGAAGCAGGTACAGGTACAACATTTCTACAATGGAAAACCAAACAAAAGCGAGTCGAGTCAAAGGGCCTCCGCTCAGACTAGCTTGGTTTGAGGGCGTACCTCACCCCGCTAGCCGCTTGGCAAGCTTTATGACGCGTTTTCATTGTGACGTCACAAGTAAAGGAAGTGAAGGGCTGGACTACAAACGAGCTGTTTTCAAGCGGTTCCGAGCAGTGCTGGGAGAAGGAAACTCCCTTTGGGCTGGACGTTGGGCTTTTTCACATTGCAAACCTGTTACATGCACAAAAAAGAGATATAACTCAATAAAGGAGAGGGAAAAAGCCATAAAGCATAATACCACCTCTTTAAAAGACAAGAAACAAACATATTACTACACTATACAAGAGTGACCATGGTTTGGCTTGAGCATTGTAAAGTGCATAGTTCAACACGTATCTGACTCTATACTAATAACAGCAGCCTCATAAATAAAAATAGCAACAGCAGAGGTCAGTAATAACGCTGTAATAATGCTATGCAATGCTTGCGACATTTATATGAAGTAACATTAAATAGCTGCATTTCATTACTACCTACTACTTTGGATTGTTACAAACACTTTGCAGTGAGAAAAATACATCTGTATCCTATTCGTTTTACAATCACATTGTAGCCTCATAATCTTAATGAGGTACCTAGAAATTCCCACCCTTGAGGTGATGCATGTGATGCATCGAGGAATCGTAATCGAATCGAATCGTGAGATCAGTGAAGATGCACACCCCTACTAAACAAGCTGGTATTTAAGTGAATGTTCATCGTTTGTTTGCCTGTTGCTTTTAAAGGCATCGTGAAGTCTTTGTTGCAGCATTGAACAACAGTTACACTATATTGTTATAACGCTAAGAGTTATCTGATGTTTTTGCTAGGCTAGCTACAGTAATGTTAAGATCAGTCAATCAGTGTTAGCAGCTCTTTGAATATTGGTTAATAAAAGAAGCTAGTTGCTGTACCAGTGCTATGCATTGATATTAAAACGCAGGTGCTACTGGATGGTTATCCTCACTGATGAGCAACATTGAAACCCAATATAGAATGATATAAGATAATAAATGATAGAACAAAGTCAATCTCCTATTGTATATATCCTGCACATTGTTGACCTGCTGCTGACCCACCCACATTTCTTTTGCTTCTGACGCTTATGGCAATAGTAAATATGCAATCTCCAGTTAGACTTTCAAAAGTCTGTTGTCTGGCCAACCCTTCCACCCCAACCACCTCCTTACTTGGACATTTGAGTTATTGATATCCTTCACCGCCTTTAAGAGTTCATAAATGACACTACAGGGCTTGAACTAACTATAGAACTATAGAACAAAGGGGCTTCCCAGTACTTTACAAATTGACGCCAATGTGTCTTGACCATGTGTCCCTATATGTGACGACTTGGGAGAGAGAACGAGTTGCCCAAACAACTACCTAAAAGAGGCTACAATGTTTTACACAGCTAGCTATTTGGGTGAACATTTTTATAGGTTTATCATTGCATCCATGCATCCATTTCATTTTTCATTACATGAAAGCCATTTAATGAGAAAATAATCATTTAAATGCAGGTTTAACAGACAATGCAGCTGTGTTTTTTCTCTCATGAAGCGTTACACAACTGATGGAGTACTCTATTAGAGTTACAACATTAGGAACAGAGGATGCATGCAGGTTCATTACAAGTATCATTAACAATAGACAGTAAAAAGAAAGTAACTTAATTTTTATATAAGCATTAAATCTGGTTCATGTTTTTGAGGAGAAAGTGCTTTTGTATCTGGTTTGTTAAGCGCTGTCTTTTGAACAGACATCAGGGGACTAATCTATAGATACCCTACAATGAAATTAAGTTGGATGTGTTTAAAACATTTAAAGCATTTGAGCTGTTTCATTTAGGAATTTTTCATAGCAGCAATTTACAAATAATTTCCGATTAAGATGACATTTGTCAAAAAAGTACATTTTGCGTTATACAATGAAAAACCTGAGATGTAATTATATGTGAGAAATGCAAAAAAGTTTATAGGACTTGATGCAAGCGCATAATCTAGTTCAGATTAAATGCTTAACATTATAAACATTATCAACATTTAACTTGAGAGTACACACTGTCCTCAGCAAACTCTCTCCTCTTTCTTCCTCTTGTGTTTTTCTCTGAGAAATTCAGCGCAGCATATTTCAGTTGGTCGTCAGTTTCAGTCTGTGCAAAAATAAAATTATCGTTATATATATATATATATGTTACATATATACACGCACGCACACGCACGCACGCACACACACACACACACACACACACACACACACACTCATATAGGGTTAGGGGTAGGGTTAGGGTGTTTATCTAGCCCAGAGTGAATGCAGCCTGCAGCCGTCTACCAGGAGATTTTAGAGCACTTTATGCTTCCACCTGCTGACAAGCTTAATAGAGATGCTGATTTCCTTTTCCAGCAGGAATTGGTACCTGCCCACAGTGCCAAAACGACTACTAACTGGTTTGCTGACCATGGTATAACAGTGATTGGCCAGCCAACTTGCCTGACCTGAACCCCCTAGAGAATCTATGTGGTATTCTCAAGAGGAAAATGAGAGACACCAGACCCAACAGTAACCTGGGCTGATTGCCTCCTTGCCACGCTGCATTGATGCAGAAATCCGTAGCCCAAACGGAGCCCTGACCATGTACTCGGTGCATAACAACATTTCTGTATTATAAATGATTTATTCTAAAATTCCATTTCCATGAGGTCTGAAATATTTCACTTTAGTGTGTAATAAATCTAGAATACATGAAAGTTTCACTTTTTAAATTAAATTATAGAAAAACAATTCCATCACATTTATTTTTTTGAGATGCACCTGATTATACTTACACAAATACATGGTTCAAAGTATTTAACGGAATTATAATAAAATTAATTTAGTATTATCACTTACAGTGTCATGTGCTGGTTGGCATGAGTTGTCATGTTGTGCTTCTGAAACAGCACTTTCCATTCCTAAAGATGAACATGATAATAAATATTGGTAGAGAAATGCACTTAATATGACTTTTCAGTAAGAGTACACTGGTATAAACTACAAATTCAAAGAGTGGAAATTAATCAATTATTCAGATAAAATGTAGAGGCGGAGTTTAATGAGGTACACAAAAGAACAACAAACACTAAGGAGACTGTTTTTCTTTAGAATGTATACTATTATTAATCAGCTCATTAATTATATTCAAAAAGTCTGATCATTTTACTCTGGAACGTGTATTGTAAAGATTTATCCGATCTTGTACATAAAATGCATAAACACATTTAATCTTACATGTCAAGGTGACAAGAGAATTTTCATTTTTGCAATTATTTTTCTTGTTCCCAGCACTCACCTTCATATTGTTTGTGTACTTTTCGTTTGCAGATGAGGACAACATTTCCAGCAACAGAAATGACCAAGCAGACAATTAATATCGCCATTGCAATGAATATTGAATGTGGTGTTTGCACTAGAAAACCAACAAAGACACTTATCAATCATACTGTTATAACATATTTTGAGAATTACTTCCATCATTGAACACCAAGTCATACCATTTTCCACTTTAGTTCCATCTCCGAATAATATCTCTCCACATGTGGCCACAGCACAGTAGTAAGTCCCAGCATCAGAGGAGCTGACGTTCTTAGAGAAGTGATAAATGCAGCTTTTCTGAGAGTCAGATCTCTTGTCACATTTATCATGTCCATTTCCATCAGTGTAGATGATGTCTGGATGAGAATGATCTGATCCGGCTCTGAACCAGTACACACTGTGATCTCCTGGACACGTCTTATTGTCAGAGTCAGAGAGGACTGAACACTGGAGAGTCATCGAGTCTCCTGGACGGTCTGGATCAGATACTGTCGGCCCTTGAATGACCGTATAGTTTGATGTCCTCTGAGTGTTTCCTGTGTGATACCAAACTGTTAAAAATGTAATATGCTTAATGACAGTTTAACACTTTGTAAAAGTAGATCACACTATTACCTTTTACTAACAGATATGTTCCACTCCATTCAGGAACAGTCCAATCTGTTATTGCACAGTGATACATTCCCTCATCCTCTTGAATTATCCTCAGAATGGTCAGATAGCTAGAATTCTTATCAGTGTTTACCGTAAATTTTGATTCAGAAAATTCAGTTGTATACTGAGGGTTTTTTTTCCACACTGTCATAATTAATTTCAGAGTATCCCCAGCACGCTGCTTGTACCACTTGTGCACTATATTGCTCAACTCTTCAACAGGAAAAACACAAGTGAAGGTCGCAGATTCACCAACTTGAACGGTGGTCACTGGAACCAACGTATCTGAATAAAATTAAAACATGCAATATATAAAATAACAGTGTACATGTAAATGTTATGATGCAAGAAGATGCAGTGGGCATGTACATTCTTAATAATAAAATAGCACTTACATCCTTGATGAAGAAGAAGCAGCGTAACCCATAACAGGATCATCTTGCCAATGTCTCTAGTTAAGAAACTTGAAGGTATTTCAGTGAGTGAAGGAGGTGGGATGGTCGTGACACATCAGACCATTAGATGCATCTCATTGGTTTTCACAGAATATGCAAAGAGCACTTCCTGCCACATTGTTGTCATCCTGGTCTTTGTGCATATTACCTCTCTTTCATCCTTCATAGCCAATGTTGAGATTGTTTGGACAAAGAAAAAAAGCACCCCCCAACACCAATCCACAACCTGGAGGAGTGTATATATATATATGAGTGTATTTGTATAATATTCTTACATTAAATAAAAAATAATAATTTCATAGTATAGGCTACTGTTATATACAGTATATAGTTTAGCACTAGCAAAGACCAAATATTAATTCCATTTACAGCAGATTCAGTTTTGTGGGTTGTTTTCATTCATGAAATCCTTGTGCAAGAAAAACAGTCTGCCTTGGTCTCTAATTTATTAATGCTAAGTACCAACTTGCCAATAATCATATGCGAGTAAAGTACTCTGAAGAGCTCTGCATCATCTTTCCTGGACCAGCAGAGTGAGGATATGCTGTTGAGCAAATGTGTTGATAATGTGTTGATCACTAAAACGATAAAATCATTCCCTAACCAGAATGCCTGGATGAATGGAGAGGTGAGATCCAGAGACAAAAAAGCTGCTTTCGGTTGAGTGATAAAGAAGCTTATAGCACCACCAGAGCGAGAGTGAAAGCTGGCATCAAGGAGGAAAATCTGAGACATCAGCAGAGACTGGAGAGAGAACACCAACAACACCAAAGATATGTGGCAGGCCATCAAAAACATCACAGGCTACAAAAGCAGGTGCTCCCCCATTATGTGCGAGGCCACATTACCAGATGAACTCTTTTTCTTTCTTTCTTTTTAAAAACCTGTCCTGCCCGGCAGCCTGGTATAGAGTAAGAGGAACTGGATACCATATTGTGCCAGACAGATTTTACTTTAGCAACAGAGTGTTAATATACTCCTTTGTCTGTTTTGTTATTTATTCAAATTTATTTGTCACCGGGCCGGACAGGGGACAGACAAAAGTTTGTCTGGGCAGTGTGAACTGATCATTCTAAAGACTGAAACCACCTTCTGTGGTTTTATAAAGCGGTTACCACGTCTGGCTAAAAGAAAGTAGGCTAACAGACACAAATACAAAAAGTAGTTCCACCAGGCTGCCGGTGGGCTATGATGGTTGCTAAGCAACATACATTAAAAGGCTAGATTTATTAGAACTATTTAGGCTATTTATATTTATTCGCACGTTGCCGTTTATTGTGCAGCCACTAAAATACTGTCTAGGGTCAGTAAATAGACTTTGGTAACTTAGATGATAATATGCTTGGTGCCGGCCAGCAGTGCGTAAATAATAACACTTTAATATTAGGCCTATACCTACCATAAAGAGCGGAACTGCGTCTCTTCTTTGTCTTTGATGGCTATTTCATGTGTAAGAGAGAGGAAAATGTTGAATCACGTAATAAGCAATATTTTTTCTCTGTCTCTCTCTCATTATTTATTTATCTCCAAATCTATATCATATCGCTTTTTAATACCAGGTGTAAATGGGGCGTGAGACCCCCACAAAGATCAGATTATAACTCCAACCCATTTGTCACGCAGTGATACTGATCTGTGCAAAGGAATTTGACGTCATAGCCATTGTATACGCACTTTATACTACTATGAACCAATAAGATCACTTGATTTGAGATACCCATTTTATATGAGTAGTTATCTCACAATGCACACACAACGCCATTATGTCAAGCTCTTTTTTTCCATAAAAAAAAAAAAAGATTTTAAAAACACTGCAACCACGAAATAAAAACATCCAGTACATGCAATAAAATACAGGCCTAAAACCATGGTCTCATTTGATGTGACTGCCTTGTTCACATGCATCCCCACCATGGAGGCAGTAGAAACCGTAAGGACACAACTGCTAAAAGACAACACCCAGAGCAACAGAACTAGCCTCAGTCTGGACCAGATCTGTAAACTACTAGACCTCTGCCTAAACACCACCTATTTCCAGTGCAATGGAGGATTCTACAGACAGAAGTATTGCTGTGCCAAAGGCTCACTAGCAGCCCTGGGGCCGTATTACAGAAACTTCCTCAGATCCTATCCTAACTTTAGGAGAACTGTTGAGCTGTCCTAACTTTTAGGCTACCAGGTAGTGTTTGCTAACTCGTTTAATCCACATGGCTGCTCTTTAATTGCTTTTACAAAATCAACAAAATGTCAACAAGCGGAACTTACTTGATTCTACCGATGTTTCTGATGACAAAACCCTCGTTAGTAGAAAGGCTGTAAGCGATGTAATGCCAGATAATGTCTCATTCTATAACATAATGTAAAGGCTTTTTGTAACAAAAGGATCCTAATGCAAGTCTTTGATAAGAGGAGATTGTTAAATTCAAGAAATACATGAAAAACATGATGACGTTAGCCCGCAGCCTTTATTATGATTATTAGCATATTTTTCTTACGTTTCATCTGCTCTTTGGACACTACAGTTGCTTGTGTCTTCATATCACTGCAAATGGACTATACTTTCTTTTTGAGCGCTCTGTTGGGTGCCAGATATGCAGCGGAGACTGTGTCTGCTATTGTAGCCCACTCTCTCTCTTTAATCTCCCCAGTGAAGCATTATGTGTATTTGGATTTCTCGACGCAGGTTACCAACACCTCTAAGTCATCTGACTTGAAGTTCAATGATATTTGTTGTTTCTGCTCCATTTTATGGGTATGTTTCATTAAAAAAAAACTACAAAAAAACAGCGATTAAAAGCAGTTTAGCTCAGCGAGATGAGAAAAGTGGCATCGGTTGCTAGGTAACAGACATAAGTTGATAACCGATGTTGGAGTATTTAGGATTTCCTAACCTGAGATAAGATAGGATTTGTAGTGAACGGTGTGGATTTGTGCATTTTACATTGAATAAATTTGGAGCTACCCTAAATTCCTTTCTCCTCCCCAGAGAAGAAGGGGAGGGGTCAAAGTTGCTTTCTCTAAGTGCTAGCCCGACCATAAAACTGGCACCTTTTTGATTCCGAAGCTGATAACGCGGGGCCTGACTGTTGAACTGACAAAGAGATATGAACCAGCCATTGGCATCTCTCTGAACAGCCTATCAAAACTGGCCCCCCCCACACGTTTCCGTGGCAACTGACCTTATTCTTTGTTTTATTACCACATCAAAAAGGAAAACCCCTGTCTCACCCAAGTGTGACATGGTCCAGACACTGAACTTTGGATGACAAAGGACTGCAGTCTCCAAAGACTCAAAGCATTTAATTAAATCTTTAGTTACCTGATTACGTTTGCCTCTATTTGAGTAGTTATGTTAACTGTTGTTGCTATCTGTTGTTGATATTAGTGCTGAAAAGAAGTTACTTGTGCAGTGTTTTTATTTTCAGCAAGACACTCCTTCATCTGATGTAATCAAGGCTTGTTCATAATACTTTCCTACAAAATTTCTTTAGAAATGATGACAAAGAAATGTTTTACTATACTCTTAATCGCCAGCTTGAATTTAAGGATGAATCAACAAATTCCCCGGTTCCTAAGGAGAGACGATCTTTGATTTAATCCAAGCTTTCCTCTGTAACCTGAGCTCCCCCAAGTGGACGAAATAAGTATTACATGCCCTCGTCGGAAATGCCATTAAATGTATAAATATCCTGACCAATAATGTGACAATTGTTTCCTGTTACCAAATGCCTAGAACAGTACAACCGTTCAACCATTGAGGTTCAATTGTGTAAAATATTTGATTATAATACGTGCAAATAGATTTCTTTTCTTTTAGACATTAAGTTTAGAAAGGCAGTCCCATGGGAAACCTGAGACACCCCCTGGGGAACCACGCCCCAGGCAACAAAAGAGCGACACGCGACCTCGCTTCGCTCTCTTCTCTTCGCTCTCTTCTCTTCGCTGTTGGCTCTTCCACCCTGCTCGGCCCTCTGGACGCTTCGGCACGTGTGGCGTGCCTCGCCAGGCAACGCCCAGACTTGGCCAGCGAAACAAACAGGCCCTTTTGTTCGCCTGAAGCTACACACCTGAAGTGCCGCGACATCGATCTGCCTTCAGTTTGTTTTATTTTCTTTATTTCTTTTGTTTGTTAAAGTTATCAGTCCGTTAAGTTACACTGGACTAATTCAGGAACGACCAAGTTCCATTTTAAGCCTTTTTCGTCGAGCCAACTTCACCGAGGTCAGACCAAGCCACGTGGTCTCGCCAGCTACAACGAAGGAAACCTGCAAACAGCCGAATTGCCAGACGGAGGAGGCGTTTTCAATCAGACACGGAGAACCCCGGAGAATCCCTAGCAAAAAGCCCGGAATGGCAGCTAGCGTGGGACCAGCAACAGGCCAAAAGCAGGCTGTCGACAAGCAGTAAGACTAAACACACGTCCTGTGATCACATGTCCATTTTAACTCCTAAATTATGACATTAGTTTACTTTCATTAGTTCTTCTATGCCGTATGAGTCAAATGCTTCCCACAATCGAACCTCCAGGCTCATTGTTTAGCAAATGTTTATGTTCCCTGTATCCAACCATCTTTTTATCACCTTAGTTAGAGAATAAATTCATGTAATATAATCAAGAGCTGTGTGTGTTGCCTATTTCTAGTTCCTGCCAAGAGAATTGACCCTTTAGATATGAGACTGACTGACTGATTTAAGATAATTGAGCGATTATTAACTAATGATCACTAGTAATAATTGTATAATTATTCAAAACTACCTAGAGGTCCGGAGACTCTAGGATTATAACAACTCCGGTGGTGCCCTAAAACGAGGAATTAAATAAAATGATTTTATGAATCTTAAAAATTCATAATTGGGTATCAATTCTTAGAAATTTATTAAAATGCATAACTAATAAATTTAGGTCTGCTACAGATTCCTAAAGTAAGATAGGATTTGCTTCTGTAGTACCAAATTGAGAAAAATCCTATCTTAGACTCTTGC